GGCTGGGGCATGGGCCTATTCTTTGAGTTTTCTTGTAACTGTGGTCAGTTATCTCTCGTTGAAACACAAAAACCCATTTACAAAGGGGATAATGCAAAGACTCCCTTTATAGTATAGAAACCACATCTTAAAGGGATCCGGTAACTTTGTCTCAGATTCTGAAAACATATTCTGGATTTAGCTCATGATGCAATGACAATTATAAACCTTTAGGTCAGTCAGGAACCCCGTGACTTTTACAAGCCGATCGCCTGTCTGATTATCAAGATATTTATGATTGGAATTACAAATTTTGAAAACCGTTCGCCTGACGGTTTTCATAACACTACAGTCTATTGGGGAAAACGAGTATGGTAAAACCGGTCACTCAAAGATTTTTACTTTTTTGAGGCACTTCTTGATCATTTCGAAGCGCAATTTTTTTAGGGCTTCAATATTACACCATATCACAGACACTGATAACACGTAGGGCCGTGTATCTCAGATTTAACATTGTTAAACGATCCCTTTAATCATGATAAGCAAACACCAGTACTACCCATTCCACAGTAATGGCTTGGCGAGTGACATATCATGTTTGCTGATCAGATACTGGGATGATAAGGCACTTCCAGTTTGGTGCTTATCAATATTATGATTCAGAAATACCAGGTATAGCTACATCCAGGTTGGGGCACACCAATTAAGACTAGTGGTTAAAATGTATTTGGGTTTGGTGGGTTGGTAAACAAATATCTAAGCTTCTACTGACTGTTCTAGATTGTAAGGTATTTCTAGGAATGGAAACAATTTTGGAGGGGTGTATGAATGTCAGTTATGTCACATCAGAAATATCAGAAACAGTCTACAGGCATGTAAACCAGAGGTTGAAATGTATTCAGGGTGGATAGTTCTTTTTTTTAATAATCGTAAGCTTCTACAATGGACCTGTGTGTGTTAGGTCAATGCTTCTACCAACTTTTCTAAATGTAGGGTATTTCTGAGAATGGAAGCAATTAAGGGAATAAGGCACCTGGGCGGGGACTGGGAGCACCATTTCTAATGGGGGCTCTGAGGTGTACCTCCACACAAAAAAGGACCCAATATAAATACAATTCATTACATTTTGTTTACTCACTACAAACATTGAGTTAAAGACATTAAATGTCCATTTTATTACGGGGGTGGGGTGGAGCCCACATGGACTAATTAAACCCTTGGTTAGTTCAGTTGGAAGAATCATGGTTGAAAAAATTAATTGAAGATCATGAATAAGGGAATGATGGGTGAATGGTAGAGAGACCAAACAAAGTACTGGACTTATTCAGAAGGGAAACAATGAAAAAAAGGGGACTTGTCGAATGACTAGAGTAGATACAGTGTACATTTTGATAGGTACATGTAGGCATATAGGGGAAAATACAAACTAAATAAGTGACTACTTTTCAAGAGAGGTAAAAATTCAATAATATACTAGTTTAAAAGAGGAAGTCAAATAAAACATCACAAAGCATGATCCTTCATACTTCACAATAAAGCGGACACTCACTCACTGATCCGAGTCTGAGAACGGAAAAAAAAGGGAGAGAGAGAGAAAAAAAAAAGGGAAAAAGACAAACTTCATCATAACAACAATAGGGATATGCAAGCAATGCATGCAAGTGACACTCTCACATTTCCTCTCTCACGGTATCAAAAATCACCAACAAACAAAAGGCAAACTTTTCCACCAAATTGCACCCTTTCTCTGGCGCTCGGACGTGAAAAGACCCCAATCCGATTTATAGCGACTGACCTGCAACGGAAAACTCGGCCGGGCATGCAGGAAGCAAAGCGAGTATGAGAAGGCCCACGCGTAACACCAAAGCGCCTGCCCAACTCCCCATCTCGAATTCCTCTCCCCACTCGATCTCAGCTTTCAAAAAGATGATTATTATATCTCCAATAAGTAATTCCAAATGGAGTTCCTGTGTGAGACACAAATCCAGGTCCAAAGTTTGACGTCAGAAAGTTTAGACCAGTCCTCTATTCGACATGGTCCTGGTTTGAGCAAAAAGCAGAGGAAACGATAAATCACAGTGGAAAAGGGAATAAGTTTTATTCAACGGTGCCGCACTAGCACCGCACACCGAGACCCTCTTTTTTCCAAATACTGAATGGAGTTTAGAGAGCGGTTTGTTTACCTCGTTCGCTCGAGCGGTTGTGTTGCGCACGTGTGTACCTACAGTGCACTAGCACTCAGTCCGGTTTCAGGGGGAGGGGGTAAAAAAAAAATGAGAAGAAGACCGTATAGTAGCTCCAAATCTATTGGCGTGCGGCCGTTGGAATAACTCGAACGATGTCTAATCCAAATTCCTTGCATCCAGCCGCGATGCCTACCCCGAACTTGGACGCAAGTTGTCCCCAACGGTCAGATGTTTCCAATTAACTTCTTCACGAAGGAAAGGCACTTAGGTCCTGGCGGCACGGCGGGTTTTCTTTTGAAACCCGCGAAATATGATAAACTCGACGATGAGCGTACATGCTAGGCGGGGCCAATCAATTTTCTTCTAATAGAAAGTTCATCTGTCACTGCAAAAAAAAACTGTGGAACCTATCCGATCGCTTCATCTACTTTCATGATTAACCGGAGTGTGGCCCGTGTGGGTGAACCGGGTTTAATAGGGGGTATAAAGCTTCATATGACGACTGCAGTTCCTGCATTAAAAAGCGTTAGTTTCTCGATAAATTTTTCGTTCCTACTTTTGTTTTCAAATGAAAATTAGAATGTTTTAAATAAAAGGTCTACCAGTAAGATGATGGGATCTCTAGAGAGAGGTAACGAAGAGTTTGATGCCGTCTAAACCATGTGTTATTATAGCTACGCCCTAATTATTTAGTGATTTGGGACAATAAAGCATCCGTTGCCAACAAAATCATTTCGCCCATTCATACAAATCAGGATTTTGATTGTCTTTTAATCGAGGAGATGATAGTTTAGGTCTGTTTGGGAGTAGCAATGTTAGCAGAAGTCCACCGTCACCAAACCCCAATCGTTATAGGAGGGCCACCCATGCCATTTCAACGGCACGCTTCCCTCAAAACCACAAAAGCCGCAGCGAAGTCCTGGATGAGCGCTCAATCTTTTTTAATACTCCAACCGCAATATTCCACATATCTCGCGATGCTCGCATATCATTATATTTTGGAAGGAATGTCCACAAAGGATGGCAACGCATAAATCAAATTTATCTTTTTTGTAACGCACGTATGGTCTATTTTCGGCAAGTGATGAAGTAAAAGAGATACACTTGGGAAATCTGTGTCTGCGAATCAGCTCCCGCGAGATGGCGCTATGCAATATCTTGTTTTCGGACACAAGTGTAGAACTCGCAAAGAACATGACAGGGTCTTTTTAATGTCATTATTTTATACAGTACATTCTACAGAAAAGCCTTGCAGTTGCATATCCAGAAGCCGATTTAAGAAAGGGGGATTCAAGGGCGAAACGTACCTGTGTATCACCATCAGGCGCGTACACAGGATTTTTTCAAGGAGGGGGGTTTAACATTTTCTAAATCGGGCCGAAAATTTCGCAACAACTCAGCCAGCCGCTGAATAAGCGGGGGGGGGGGGGGGGGGGGTAAGAGGGCACTTTTTTTTTTTTGGTCTCGAAATTTGAAAATTTGACATTTTGATCCATTGGGGGGGGGGGGGGTAAGGTCAGCTTTTTTAGGTCAACCATGGGACCCCCCCCCCCCCCCCCCTGTGTACGCGCCTGATCACCATGGAGTAGTAGGCCCAATGGTATCACTAGCTTGTGATGAAATCTATAGTATTATTACCTAGTTTGTCATCGTCACATTGCAATTAATCTTTAGCTCATCTTCGAAATAGGCTAAAAAGTCCCCTGAAGATTGTTAGAAAAAGAAGGAGGAAAAAAGAAGAGGAAGTAAAAGAAAAGAAAAAAAGAAGTAGAAGAAGGGGAAAGAAGTAGAAGAAGGGGAAAAAAGAAATAGAAAAAAGAACGTCTTTGGAAAAGGGCGTAGATCATTTCCATCTCCATTTTATGCATACCTCCAACTCTCTATTCGACCTCTTCCCCATCTCTATCTCACTCTACCTCTCACCTATCTACATCCCTCTCTTTCTCCCTCTCACTCATATCCCCCTTTCTCTCTTTTTTCTCCTTCCCTCCCTCTCAATCTATCTTTATTCCCTCTCTCTCTCTTTCTCTCTTTCACTGAATTTCCCTTCATATTAGTGCACCCGCCCTTCTCCATGTGTACAACCTCACCTCCTCTCTCTCTAAGATAGAACTGGACCTCATTTAGAAACATAATTATTCTTCCTGCTATTACTCGAAAATCATTGCATATAGCGGCAAATCAAATGCACAAAGAGGGTTTTCCTTTTACCATGGCTCAAAGGTCAGTTCAACCCTTGCAATAAGTTCATTTGTATGAAAGCAGAAAAAAACGAATTAAACGGAATGGCAAAAGTTTGAAATAGATCGGACTAATAATAAGGAAGTTAAGAATTGTTGAAAATAACAGAAACAGAATGGCAAAAGTTTGAAATGAATCGGACCAATAATAAGAAAGTTATGAATGTTTGAAACATGAGATTATCAAGTCCATGCGAATCTAAAATTGGTAGTTTGGCCGTGGATTGTGACGTAATGGCGGAAAACTCTCCCTTTGTCGGGATACGCAAATATTATTAATTTCTGTCTTTCTCCCAAGTGCCTTTTCCTTTGGGGCACTACTCAAAATATACTATGGATAGCATATTACTTTAGGTCTTCTAAAGAGAAATGACCCTCCAAAGACACTCTTACTTTTTGACAAATTGAAGTTTTAGTCCAGGGTGGAGGTGTTTGAATAACATCTTTTGTGAATTTTGGCCGATAAGGCAAGCAAGCTCATGTCATACATATTTATTCATTTTTTGTATAGATATTTCAATCAATTCAATCAGGGAAATAACGATGAATAAATATAGGAACTGGAACTAGAAAAGAAAACATATCAAACCATTTCTTTTTCTTGTGTGGCTTTTTATTACTACATGATCTTTGTAGCGTCATCTTCTACAAAGGCACATGAATACACTGTCAACAAGTAATCTGGATGTACTATAACCATGGACCTACTACCAAACACAGGCTCTTATGACAACTGCTCCACATTCATTTCCTAAACTAACCGTATTATTAACATCAACCAAGGAGTAGCCTAGTAACTTCTTGCTTTAACCCTGGGCTCAAACCTATATGCATCTCTAAACCTAACTCTAAACCAAACCTAACCTAACCTTAAAGGGGGATTGTCGTCAGTTTCTATGTGCAGAAGGCCATAATTTGCCGACACCAGACTTGGTGTAAATAGTATGAATGAGTGTACAAGTCTGCACACAGCAACCCTGTGATCCAATCAAGAAATACCTCCTTGTCTCTCACAAAGTCTATGTGTGAGGGAAACTTACGATAATGACTTGACAATATGGGTGGATGGGTGGAAAATGCAGAGCATTACATAAGGCCTGTTCATTCACCTGAAGGCTTAATCCTGCTGATTGACAACACCTGTTATAGTGTTGCAAACACCTGAATGGTGTAAAAAATTCCCCTGAGAGCCCACTACTACTACTACTACTACAGTCTTTAAACCCAATGCCAACTCTAATCCTAAACCAATTCCAACACTTTTGATGAAATAAGGCCCTGAGCAATTGCCCCCCGGAGGAAACCTTGGATCATCGTAAATCTACATTGTATGACACTCTACAACCCTTTAGATTCATTAGTTGTTTATAAATCACGGAGATATGTTTGCGTTTCTGCACCACCCACTGTAATATCCATACAAAACTAAGTCATTTCACTATAAATACAACACCACGATACTCTTCAATATTTCTATAAATTTCAGCTCTAATCAACAAATTCATCTTAGGTAAATCATCTTTTCTGATTCAATCTACATATTCTCTGGTGATAAAACTGATTTGTTTACATTATTTCTGGACATTAGGGGGAAAAAGGCTGAATTCTTATCCTTAATCTTCAATGGATATATAAATGAAACTTTTGTATACTAATTGAATAATAATAATTGAATCAATGATATCATAATCAGTTATAAAAAAAAAAAGATACAACAAAAAATATTGAAGCAGCTTGAGAACTACTACATTAGGGCCCCGTTTCACAAAACTTGTCATCAGTGACAAATGACAGTTTTTGTTATAAGCTACTGAAATCCTTGCTTCTGATTGGTCATTAGCAGAATTGTCACTGAGTTTTGTCATTTGTCATTGAATAAAGGCTTTGTGAAACAGGTCCCAGACTTCATAGTATGTGCTAGAAATTGATCATTACTTTCAATAATTGTAAAGACCTTGCCATGATATCAAGTCAGACCATTCGTTATAAGACTTAACCAATATTGGTAAATCAAATAAAATTTCCATATTTAAAGCGGGACTGCACTACCTGTAACTACTTGCGCCCTCTATATCGCCAACAACGCTAAAGCGCTACCCATTGATCCCCAATGATCCTGTTTTTCTTATGGTAATCGAGAGCTGATTCCATTAGATAACCACCTGCCAGTGACCACGTAGGGGGTTATAATCCCTCCTGGCCAAACTAGTGCAGATAGGCTTCAAGGCATGATTTCTGCTCATGATTTTTAATTGAATATTCATATTAAATGTATACCATGTGGGAAATACTAGAATATTGAAATGACCATAGCAGAGCTCTCTCCCTAAAAACTTCAAGATATAAGATATGTGATATAACCATTTGCATGTACATTATTCTTATATTTGTATTTCATTTAAACATCGTATTTCATATAAAATATTACAATCGCAGGAATGTACCAAAAACTTGATTGATACAGCATAAAAGGAGACTCATACGGAGTGCATCATACACTAAATGCAATAGATACCACAAAACAAATTTACATTGTCTACAAACCTTGATTTTGTATGCCTCTACATATAAAAACATAAATGTGGTGTAAGATAATTACTATTTAAAAGTATCACAAGCTAATAACCATTCAATCATCCTTAAACAAAATATTACAAAATATAATAATTGTGGAAATACACAAAAAAGCATAGCATAACTAAATTAAACTTTGAAACTGACTTTCTATACATTAAACTAATATTTTCAACAATGAAAATTAGACAATTGATAGAGAAAAAAATAATTATGATGTTATCAGATGTATATATCGTGAGATTTTTTGTATTGTTTTCAAATTCAAAATGACATGATTTTCGAGGATGTGTTCTTTTCAGTTGGGATCACTCAAAGACACTATGTCAAGATCATTGTCACCAGCTAGCATTGTAGGAACCTGCAGCCTCTCAAACTGAGAGCAGCTGGGCATCGTGGCTGAGCGATAGGGCCGAAGGGGCAGACCTTCGGCCTACTAGTTCACAGAACAAGATGCATTAGGACGAAAAACTTTGTCCAAACCGATGTCATGACCGGGCATTGTAGAAGTTCGCTGCCTCTGCCGACGAAAGGGGCTGGGCATCGTGGCTGAGTCGTCTCACAGGAGGATGACGATGGGCCGAGAGGGGAGACCTTGGCGCCCTGTAGCTGGTGAGGCAGGGAGACGGCTGGGACGGCTGATGGAGCTTCAACTCCCAGTCGGCAGTGGGGACAGCCTTACTGCAGGATGAAGCGGCTCCAGAAGAGGACGGGTCGCAGGGTTTCTTGCCCAAAGGAGCATCGTTGTCTCCATTGTCGATGTCAGGAACCACCTGGAGATGTTCTCCCTGCATCGCCATGGTTTTCCTGGACAAAATAAAGAAAGACACCCAGAATGTATGCATTATAATGCATTCTCTTTTCATGGCATGCTTTTTCTCTAGTGACAAGTATATCATGTCAAATATTTCATCAAATTCAAGAAACATTGCTTGAACATTTTTATTGTTTAAACTTCAAGTTGACAGGAACAATAACACAATTCCAACTTGTGATATTTGAACACATGGTAAACATAAATATGTAGGTACATTTTCCCCTTTTCCTTCTTGTTTATATTTTTGCTTTTATTTTACGTTTGGTACAAAATTATTAAGGATAAACATGTGACATAAACATTTACTTATAATTATGTAAATGATACTGTTTTAAAGGTAAAGACCAGTTATGGTCATGCGATTGCATTGTGAAAGAAACGTTGTGGAATCGATCAGAAAAGGTTGATCATCTAGCATCTAGCATCTGCAAAGTTCTGGAATCATCAAAATGATAAGAAATTTGGCCCATTCTTCATAAAGTTACAAGCACTATACGCAGAAAGATGTATATGGGACTACCCTATATCTCTCACAGACCATGAGAGAAACAAATTTACCAAATATATGAATTAGTAGGCGGTTTCCCGGCAAATTTTTTATCATCATGTATTAGTCAAAACATATTCTTTCACATGATTGGTAATGAGAGCTTCCATTTCATTTTTTGAAATAGGGGAGTTTCCAATACTGGTCTTTACCTTTAAATTGTACACTTATTTTTAAAATGCAATGTATATCCATGTGCAGTTTAGTATTATGTAACTGCGATGCATGATTCAGTAAATACCATACCATACCATAAATATGTAAAATTGGGTTTTTACATATGTAAAATGTGTACATTTCACATATGGTTATTTACATCTCTGTGGTGTGACAGCAGGTGACGGTGCAGACAACAAAAGGGTGTACAATTTCTATATACAGTAAAACATTGATGTGCAAGTAGAAATATCATGCTGCTATATGGTTAACAGCATTCTGGAAGTCTGGACCTTAACATTTTTGAAGTTTTTACATGAGGTTCACGCCTTCAGACTGGAAAATGTTCGGAACCCCATTCGAAAACAAAATTAGGACTGTTTCTTGGGATGACAATACATCACCACATGTGCAATATTACAGACAACAATCCAACAGACAAAAATCTGAATTTGTGCAATTCTATTGTAGACTTACCACATGGCTAGCGTAGTTTTAACCGACTCGATGACCTGTGATGCCGTGAGTCTGGTGGAAGCATCTAAGACCAACAAGCTCTTGATGAGACCAGTCGTATTCTCTGATACACGCCCATCTCTGCAAGGCGAAGAAATTGTATATATTGCCATGTAATTTGAATTTCAACGTTCATTTTTATCTTGTTTTATACTGTATACGTATGCAATTCTTGTCTATCTTGGCATCCCCCTTTTCCTCAATTTTGTAGTTCCTTTTGTAGTTACGGACTTGTTAAAATAATTACTCATTAAGCTTAAGTATCATTTGAGGTGTTCACACTTGTACAAGCAATGCTTTTTAGTGGACCCCTCTGTTTCCAATATGTATTTCTACATTTTTTGTAAATGTTTATAATTGATTTGTAATGTTTTGTTGGAAACATAAATACATTGAAATACAGATTAATGCTGCAAACCGTGTTGTTTAATTAACCATTTTTTAATTGAACTATATTGAATTGAATTGAAAAAGTATCAAGATCATGTTTAGGTGGGGATTATACCCAAAGGACCTTTTTCAAAATATATTCACATTTATATACATTTACCTACCATAGCGACAAGCTATTCCTGTCACCCAGTGTCAAAACTTAAAATACTTTGCTGTTTGAGGAAGATCTTTTAGGATTTTGAGTTGTACAAGTGCATTTTTGTCACAATGATATTAAAGGTCAATCATGAAATATTTAACTAACAGTGGGCAATGTGCACTACTTCTAACCATTAAAATAACAGACAATTCACACTTGAAATGACTTAATATTAAACGGGGCGTTGTGGCGTGCCCCTGTGATCCAGCTAACAATGGAAGTTACAAACTGATTCAGCCGAGGACGCAGGTTCGAAACTGAGTCACGTCTTTCGAATGGTGACATTAAAGATCGGTCCTGAGACGTAAATAATCATATCTGATTGATACACGTCTGTAAAAATCCTGATTACACACACATAATTTGAGGTGTACCAATCACCAATACATAATTGGCTCTGGATGTAAGGGGTTCCATGTAGCTTTACTGACATTCAAAATATGAGTTTTAAATATTACTTTTACAAAGAGATATTGCGATGTGAGCACATTCTGAGTGAACAGTAAGAAGTCTTTTTAAGTAGACTAGTTAACGCATGTGAATGCACTCACATAGAATAGGGCTCACGTAGAACCGAAGTCCGACTTGGGTTCCGTGCGAGCCCTATATGCAGTGGCTCAATGCTATCCTTTATTTTGTTAATACTCCTAACTCCTTTACCATTTACCTATAAAAAGCCAGGTACAGATTTTAGTGTGGGTTGATTATATACATTCTAGCTATACTCAAAGTATTTATTTAAGGTGATTTGTGCACTTTAAATGGCATTGAAATTCTGCATCCTATTTCTACTTTTTTGAAGACCAGGAAAATGAGGTTCAGATTTACTTAAATGCTCACAGCTAGGCCATGATTAAAGTTCTGGATATGCTACACCATTGTACTGATCACAAAGAAACTACCAAGGGCTAGTTCAGCTTACATCCTGGCTTTTCATGAAGGTAATTGTATCATAATTGTCAACAGGATCCTATATCTTAGCTCAGACCTTTGTTCTCCATTTTTATAACAGGTTTAACTGCACAGTCTCTTGATCTATAATGCTCCTTATTTATAATTTTCCTTTCATTACTATTAATTACTGGTACATATTACAGGGGTGATGGTGAGCACTAAAAAAAAAAGGAGGAGAGGGAGGTTTCCCTCAACCACCCTCCTTCTCCCCCCCCCCCCCTTGAGTAAAAAAAAAAAAAGAGAGGATTCGGGGGGGGGGGGGGAATAGCATCTAACAGCATTCCCCCCCCCCCCTTTTTGAGAAAGAAAAATTGGAAAATAATAGGGAAAAATAGGGAAGAATAGAGAAAATAAGGGAAAAATCAGGGGAAAAAAAAATCTGAAAACCGATTTAAATCAGGTTTTTATCAGGCTTGATATTATAATTATTTCAACCAAAGTTTTCTGTATCACAGCTCCTATTGAGAAATGTACGTGCACACTTACTGAGGGATGGTGAACTCTGCGGCCTTGATCTTTCTGAAGAGTTCCTGTGGGGCACTGTCGTAGAACGGAAACTGTCCGTAGAGCATCGTGAAGAGCACCACACCCAATGCCCACATGTCACTCGGCTTACCCAAGTATGGTTTCCCTATTAAAGGAGGTCATTGAAAAAAGAAATGCTAGTGGCATTCACAGAATATACTATCAAAGCTGTCTCAGTTGCAACCTCTCTATGAAGGCCACCTGTCTGTAGTGGCCATGCATTTTGTCTCCTTTGAGAAAAAAATGTGTGCTGTATAACGTGTCTGAGGAAGGCCACCTGTCTACAGTGGCAACTTTCACTGTATCCATTGGGTGGCCTCAATAGACAGGTTTTGACTGTGTGTGGAATTGTCTGTCACACTTCAACATAATAAAATGTTACTCTAAATAAAGCAGTTATCTGATATTTGCTCCTATGAAAATTGTTCTGGGCTGATTTTGTCAGAAGTATAGGGTTTAATAGGGTTGCAGTTCAATTTTAGGCTAGGTTTATGGATACCATGAATCTCTGTGTATCGACGCACCCCTATTTTGGGGGCAGCAAGCCAGGTGCGTTTTCATAAACCTTTCAAACATTGAGCTAATTTTCAAACCTGCCACTGTTACATGTTGAAACCCCTTATGGACCACCCTGGGGAAAGCCTCAGAAACAATGTCTAATTTTAGTTATTGTTTTCCCCTTGTTCTTGTTCACCACTTACCACTCAGTACATCCGGGCTGATATAGGCAGGGCTCCCTCGCTGGTCCTTGAGGAGGTCATGCTCACTGACGAGGTGCTTGCCGAGGCAGAAGTTTGTGAGCGTTATCTGCCGTGTGTGACAGTTGAGCACCATGTTGCCCAGCTTCAGATCGCGATGAACTATATTTTTCTGAGAGGGGATGATAGAAGACCAATAAATAAACGTGGAATAATTCTTGCACAGAGTTTTACATGAGGAAATCAGGAGCAAAATATTAGAACAGTCAAACCTGCTTTAGTAACCACATGTTTATACAAATTACCTGTCTAAAAAGACCACATTTTCTGTTTCCTTGAACATAGTTTTTATTTTTAATTGAAACATGTAGTAAATAAACCTGTACATAAAGACCACTTTTAATGTCTCCCTTGAAAGGTGTTTATATACAGATTTCACTGTGTATATTGGTTTTACATGTAGCACTGAAGGTTTTATACTCGTGACCGCATGTATAGAAAGACCACCTGTCTACAAAGACCACATTTTCTGGATCTCTTGAACATATTTTTTTTATAAATTGAAACATGTAGCAAATAAACCAGTACATAAAGACCACCTGTCTATCAAGACCACTCTTTATGTCTCCCTTGAATGATCTTTATATACAGGTTTCACTGTATTATCATTTGTATATTGGTATTAGCACTGAAGGTGTTATACTCGCGAGAACCTTACAATCACTCACCTTATGTAGACTCTCCACAATACTGACTACATCATGGAAGATATACACGGCCTCCTTCTCACTCAGTTTCTTCTCATGGATCACGTGGTGCTGGAGGTTGACCAGGTCCACCGTCCGGCTGCTGAAGTCATGCGACACCAAACAGTCCAGGACCAGGCACAGTCGCTTCTTGTAGGACGTCTTCCTTCCGCTGGTCGACGTGCCGGGTCTGATCTCGTAAGCACGGTCCTGTTGTAGAGAGGATAAAGAATGGAGAGGAGCTTGCAACAGGTATCTTTGGAATAATTGTCATCATTTATGTATTTTCACAGAGTACCACTTTAATAATAATAATAATAATTACATTTGTAGGGCGCTTTATACAGGTGTTTCTAAGGTGGTACTGTCTAACTCAGTATAATTATTCAACATGATCAATACCTTAAAAGATACAGAGGACCCTTGAATAAAACACAAAACATTTCCAAGAGATGCCAATACCCGAATGGCATCATTTAGTGACATTTAAAATGCTTCTTTAAAGGTAAAATAGTTGACTCTAAATTATCTTACAAACATATACACGATTAAAACATCTGGGCCTCGTTGCCTTGTCATTGATGGTAACTTTGCCATCAATGGCAACTTAATGTACCGGTACATTAAATCTCATGTATTATTATTATTATTACCATGGTAACAGGGCACAACAGCCAATCAAAATCAAGGTTTCCATGGTAGTTACCATTGATGGCAAAGTTACTATCAATGGTAAGTGTTGTGCAACGGGCCCTGTATTGTACATTGAATTAGAAACAACTACAGAATAAATCAATCATCAAGAACATAAAATCATCCAAACATAAAATTCTAAAATGCTAAATTACACAATAAAAGTACCATATATGAAAGGCCAAACAAATACCTAAGGAAATTGTACCACATCCAACCAAATATAGAATGATTTGAATAAACCAATTTGTCAATGGTTACGCTAACTGGTGTACATGTATCTTACAAGAGATACATCAGTTCATGACGCCAGCAACGAAGTGTACTTCAACTAGCCAAATTAAGGATTAGCTGCCTGTACGATAAGAGCTACACGGTAAAAAGAAAAAATTGTATCAACCTGAATATAAACTACATATGTCACAAAACAAGTAAGGCCTTGTTCAGATAAGTGGAGGAAAACCGCTATTAAAAAAATTAAAAAAAACGTAAAGTGTTAAATGCTTCTTACAGGTATATCAGTATCTCATGGAGAGCTCAGTGAATATGCGTAGGACCTTTGTTACGCAGTTGCAATTTTCTTTTGCACATATACAAATATAGCGCAGCATTACACTTTTAAAGGCGGTTTTACCACGTATCTGAAGAAGTCTTATAATCCTGAAATAATATCCCACCTGAAAGAGTCCATGGTGGTGTACAACCCCTTCCTGATCTCGTAGCAGTGATAACAGGGAGTACTCAGTGTGAAGGAGCATTTTACCCTGTCGCTCATCCTGGTTCTCTCGTCCATTCTCAGACAAAGTTAGTATCTGAAATCCAAAAGAAATTGTTGTAAAGCAAAATGAGTATTTTAAATGTTATACAAATTCCAATAATTTTTAAAACAACAGTATCCAAATTTGAATGTTATTCCAAAATGTTTAAAATCGACTACCGGTACATAATTTATGAAGAACACTAACAATAGAAGTTTTTAGATCGCTTCATACATCAATACATATTATGTTTAAAAAAATGTATGATGAAAAAAAGAAAAAAGATGCAGAAACCAATTAATCAAATCAAAATCAAATCAAAAAATGATGTCTCTAAGTGCTTTAAAGATGTATTTTTATACTAGTCATCAGGAATCTGACTTGCCCACACACAATGAACATGTATGCACATTTTCCACTCCCTGGAGAGCATTCCAGCCAGGTGCCATTTCACAGAGGCTCACAACGGTGAGCAAACTACAATGTCTTCCGCATCCTACTGCAAATGTTTCTTCAAAATATCTCATCAAATCTGACTGGTTACAAAATGATACAATGTCCATTTTCATCATGAAGGATTTCAATCAATTTTGTTTTGGTTTTTCATTACTAATAGTTTATCATGAGGTTAAATAGATCTTATTTCATCAAGGGGTACATACATGTACATGTACTTGTAATCGGAAATAGCTAGATGTTGCATTTCAAAGTTTTACAGGTAATCTCAAAATGATAATCTCTGAATCAATTACCTTTAAAGAATAAAAGTCATCGGTTCCCTCTTTCCTTGCTAAACACTGGACGATGCTCCTGACGGGCGACGTGCCAAGTCTTGGTCCAAGCAAATAAGGTCCAGCCCTCTTAAGAGTTGATCCACCTGCTGCGTGTTTGGAAGGGCCTTGTCCGTTTCTCATAGGAACTGTTTGTGAGGACCGGGTCGGGTCTCGAGGTAATGATGAGGATGATGGGATGTTGTGGTAGGGGTATGGAAAGGTTTCTGATGAGGACAGAAAGGAGGTGGTGGGGGAAGGATATCCTGAAGAGGAAGGTGACCCTGGTATCCTCAATTGGAGCGATGTCAACGCTGCTGACCCAGCTGCCATTATTCCCTCAGCTGCAGATACAAGCGAAGAGTCTTCCCCGCCAGTAGGGGGCGAACCATGTTGCTCCACCATGCGCCTGGCCTGAAGCATGGTGCGATGGTTCGTCACAGGAACATTGGCCAGATGAGGTATTCTGAGGTTAGGACTGGCTGGAGCAGAAGTCGTCTGTCTAGTGTGACGTGGTGAGCCACTAGGGGAGTTCCCGACAAGGTCTACATGATTCATGGGACGACTTACCCCTTGGCGGTGGTGAGTTCCTGATAAACTAGGCACGGTAGCAGCACCTGCCATTCTAGTCCTATCAATTTCAAAGTCTGGGACGTTCCTCTCCTGGAACACAGGAGGTATCACATCAATGACAGGTGAGTCGGTAGAGTCTGACGATGAGGACGATGACTGTGAGCTGGTAAGCAGCAGGGGTGCCCTCCTGTGAGCCATGCTTTCAGCTTGGCTCAGTCTGGTTAGGGGATTCCTTCGGTTGGAGGCCAGCTGCTGAGGAAGGCCAGCAGACCCAGAAGATTTACGCTTCATCTTTTTTCCTGGATTGGGCAAAGGTCTATCATCTGCTACTTGCTTCAGAGATCATTGTACTGTTTAGTGTGCAGAGTAGGACTACATGTATGTGCACAACTGCATGTGTGGCTGCTTTAAATGGAGTACTTCAGATCTATTGCCTTTGGGAATGATTCTCCATGTATCTGCAACAGGGAAACAAAGAAGAGAAACAGGATCCATCAATTTTGTCAATCATGAGCAAGTTTATCAGGGTTGACCTAGTCCAGGGATCGCATTGCTCAATGAGTTTCACATCCTGGATCCTGGTTTGTTGCAATGGAGAGAGAGAGTCATAGATTTAGTAACCATAAATAATCCAGGGTAAAGATTATGCATACAGAGAATTTTTTTTGTATTTCCCTAAATTTGTAGAAGCAACTGGACTATATGTCTATAGTAACGCTGAGAGAACAAAATAGAAATACAATAAACGTTGCTTTAGCATCCTGCCATTGACGATGCAACGCTTGAATGTTTCATTTCTATTTTGTCCTCTCAGCGATGCCATGCATTATAAGCATAAATATTCCAATCGCTTGCAGCCTATTTTGTAACTGGCTGAATCAGCAATTTCTGTTGTATGTAAATGTTGCATCGTTTCAAAGATTTTGAGTTTTTCTTTTCTTCCAGTTCGGAAGTAATCTTGGTATTGGGGGGTTGTGTGTCTTGACACTTAAAGGGATCGTGTAACAATGTTAAATCTGAGACACATGGCCCTATGTGTTATCAGTGTCTGTGATATGGTGTAATATTGAAGCCCTAAAAAAATTGCGCTTCAAAATGATCAAGAAGTGCCTCAAAAAAGTAAAAATCTTTGTGTGACCGGTTTTACCGTACTCGTTTTCCCCCAATAGACTGTAGTGTTATGAAAACCGTCAGGCGAACGGTTTTCAAAATTTGTAATTCCAATCATAAATATCTTGATAATCAGACAGGCGATCGGCTTGTAAAAGTCATGGGGTTCCTGACTGACCTAAAGGTTTATAATTATCATTGCATCATGAGCTAAATCCAGAATTTTGGAATCTGAAACAAAGTTACCGGATCCCTTTAACAAAGAAAACAAAGCCTTATCTTTTGCCTATGCATTTCACGAAAAAAGAATGCATCAAATAGCACTTAGGCCTACCAATACTACTTAGTTACCGGTCTTACTTTATCATCATACACAACCTGCTCCAACGCACAACGTCTGGGTAGTCTATACAATACCAAAATAGTCTAGAACATTTATATATTTGTAGACTCTACATCTTTTAACATTTCAACTAATGAAATAAACATTCCCAGTACAGAATAATAGGATCTAAAACATTACGGTAGATAACTTCATGATACGTTTCTGAACAAGCGCCAAGAAACACAACGCCTTTTAAATCATGATCTTTATTTCGACATTTGATTAGTTTTTACCTAGTCTAGATCTAGATCTAACTGCTAGACCTCTAGAATCTAGGCCTAAATTAATTGTGGGTGTGTTTTAGTAGAAACGGGTCATATTGTGGATACCTTTCCGAACAAGCGCCCAAGTTCCAGGCTACATATTTAGATTTATATCCAACTTAGTCTTACTAACTCACTCTTACTTACATGTATGTAGATTAGTCTCAGCTCAGGCTGTGTTCAGTGTATGCAGTCACCAGTGCAGCTGCAGTGGTCCATTCATTGTGTGGCGAGTTGTAACTTCGTAATTTAATGGCAATGCGTTATCACAATATTCCACAACTTCTCTCTCAATAACAGCCTTTAATCTACCATGAGTCTATAGAGTCTTCAGCATTTCAGACATAGACTCTAGGCATGATTTGGTCTAACTCTATCAATGAGAAATTACGTGTGTATGTGGAAACTTCGTTCTAGATCTACTGACTACGTCGACGTCACTACGGCGTTCACTGAAATGATCTGACTCATACGTTACGTATGGTACACGTATAATATACACGATTGTTTACAATACATGCTAGCTCCGCTTATATGGCAAGCCGTTTTAACATTTATTCCTATATCTTGATATCAAGAAATCAATTCTTGATATCTGGGCATTTCCACGGTAATAGGGTACTTCTGTGTGTGAAAGAATAAAGCGCTTACAGAAAAATTAAATAAATATCCTGTGGCTTTCTGTGTTTTTATTTTCATTGTTGATGGTATAAAGAAATAAAAAAGACAATTCCATGCACTAATAATGTCATTTGGTTGTGTTGTCCTCTTTTCTTTAATGATTATTATTAAAAATTCCAAAGTACAATCAGTAAATGTTGAGTGGTGTGATTTTGAGGGTGATGCAAATAAAAATTCTAAAAAGAAATTGATGTTTCATGTTTTGAAAAGAGATTTTGATGCGGGTGGATTACGGCATTGATCATAGTTACGGCGATTGAGCTTTAAAGAGGGAGAGTGAGAGAGTTGAAAATTACATTGGCTGAATGAGAGATTCTGTCCACCTGTGTTACGTACGTTCAGAGTGAATTTTCCCACAATTATTAGTTGTGTCACCCAACAGTTTTATGTGCTTTGCAACTCTTTTGATGAAGGTTGAAATGTAGACCAAGAAAAAAATCGTCAAAATAAACGCAAATAGAGATAAAATCTATTCAAAATTTGGAGTGCAATATTCGGTCCAACTCACGAACGTACGTAACAACTAAAAAACCGGACCGTGGCGTCCGCGAATATGACGCATGGATAATCCACGTATCAGTCAAGTGAACCAAGGCACTGCAACGTTTGATTGTACTTGCAATCCATGCGCTGACTTCTACAATCGCGGGGCCGTGTAGCTCTATATAACTTCTGTCCAGTTTGTGCGTACGTTCACGGTTGCTGGTAGTTAGAACGACACGTACGCACGTATGACAGAACATGTTTTCTGTCCTATTTACGTACGTGTCGGACGTGAGCAGCAGACGACATCCGATCGTAATTAGATTAGGCTTTGAAAATCGTGGAATGGTACGTATTTGTTATTCAAAATCTTTTTGAAATACAGTAAAAGATCATAATATGTTTCCGAAAATGAGTCATGTGTAACTTTAGTGGTGTACGATTATATTTTCCTCTTCTGGTCTGCTAGTGCTAAATTTTAACGTGTAGTGATATTATTACATTACAGTCCCATATGTAGCTTTTCATGTATGCAACACTGGTAACTCTCGCCGATCTCGCATTTTCAATAGGTGCAACCGCAACCCAATTTAGCTCACGCAAAAAAAGCAACTGCAGTTGCCTAAATCAGGAAAAACAAAAAAACAAATTTATACTTACCAACAGCTTGCTTGATTACTTAATGTTGGTTATCTTCAATAAATTGTGTTTTCTTCAAAAGGTCGCATTAAAAAAAAAAATATTTTACTTTTCAATGGATGACATTTTATACACAAGAATTATTTCATTATTGAGCCTACACTAAATTATACAAAATATTGCATCTACATTACCTGAGTCATATCATTGCATTGATATTTTACAATCCTTCTGTTAATCATTTAATGCCTTCATGTTTCAAAACCAGGAAATATATATCTGTTTGGAGTGAAAATGTGCATGATTACTATTAACGTGAGAAAATCTTAACAAGTCAAAAAAGAAAAAAAAATACAAATACATTTAAATTTGAATTAGCACAATGGATTTTAAACTCATGATTTTTTTCATCTTTAATTCTTTTGATTTCAGATGAAAGATGTTGTGGGAGAAGATCTTGTCATCAAGTACATGGCCGAGTCGGAGTCTCATCCGGGGCTATTTATATGGCCAGCACGTGAGGATGTGTCTCGGGAATGTAGAAAACAGATAGTGAAGAAAATGCCTAACCCTGTCCTTCGGGAAGACATCAGCAGCACTAGATTACAATTTTTCACCTTTGCAGAACTCTCCCCAGAATCATGACTTGTTCCATACAATTTATGAATGTCTTATTACTCATAGATTGGTTAATAATGAATCGAGTCATTCCAACTTCTTCAGAGAACTTGTGTAAAGTCCAGCACACCCGATATCGTCCCAAACCATCGGTTTTAAAATCCTTACAATATTCTCTGACTCTCGTGTAAGAGGAAAACCTAGAACTGCGTGTATTGATGTTAAAAAGGAGACATGATTAAATGGCTGGATCGTGCTAATTTATTGTTCTCACGTTGTACTTCAGTAAGGTTTTAATCACCTCAATAGACTTGTGTGTTATGAAAACAAATAAAATTCATGGAAAATTGGCACAAAGACACAATTATTTACTGAAAATATTTAATGAATGCTCAATTGAATTGATGCATTATAATATGCAAAATAACCCATTGAGTATGCAGTGTCAAATCTTTTTTGAATTTCAGATCTGAATTACATCAAAATGATTGTTATAAATACATGTATTTGATTTGAACTTACTTGAAATGAATGATCATAATTTTGAGCAAAAATAGAATTAAATAGAGCATTTATGAAAAATTAAGAAATATAAAAGGTAAATATCATACACATTGTAGTTAGCAGATAAAAGAACTCTAGAATAAAAGCATACAAATCCTGTATAGACAATTTGTAATTAACGACATGATGTTTGTGAAATATCAATGAATAGTGTTTGCCTTTTATTCCATATTGTGTCAACTACTTTCCCAGTCTTGATGGGAATTGATTACAAGCTAATGCTTACATGTAGTGAAATGCATGCTCAATATTATTGTTTAACAGTCTGTTATTATTGGGCTCTGTGTCCGAGACACATTTTGGCTACTGACTATTAAAGACATCACCTAGACTACTTTTAAATTTGTATATAAGGTTTTGTGAAATTTCAATTTCAATGAAATGATTAGTGTTTGCCTTTTATTCTATATTGTGCCAACTTCTTTCCATGTGACTATAGTTACTATCTTATCATTTTTAAATTTGAATTTGCAATTCAGGTGTTCATAATTTTATAAATTTATATAAATGGTTCATCCATGGACAATTTAAGTTGTACACTGAAGTTTGTTGCTTGCTTTTGCAGTTGGTCAAAAGATTAATGAGAGGTGAGATAAGATTTCAAAACTATCAATTAATCTATTTTACAGATTTACAAACCGTATATCAGTTGGCAAATTCATTGATTTCATTATACTTAATAATTAAAGACCATTCACATTTCACTTATTCTCCA